GGTACAGCTTTTGCGCCTCCGCTGTCCTTAGCATATTGGACGGCTGGGATGCGATCGACGAAGCCGCGCTGGCTGTAAGTTTGTACATGTCGGAAAGAATGTATCATATTCCCTGGCTTTAACGACATCCCCTGCTCATAGCATTACATTGCTCACCGCCAAATGGCCGTCGAAGGGGGCTATCAAGGTCGCACCAACAAACTGGTCGATGGCTGTTATAGCTTTTGGCAGGGCTCGGTGCCGGCGCTGCTGTCGTTAAAGCGAGGTAGTACGAGATATCTGTGACAAGGTTTGACCTCAACTTTGTGACATGGTCATTAGGTCACTATTTGAGCCACACCCAAGCGCACCAACAGTACATTTTGCTGTGTGGCCAGCAGATTGAAGGTATATGTGACAACGTGATGACGTGACTGATGGGATATAGGTGGATTGAGGGACAAACCCGGTAAATCCCGCGACCATTACCATTCGTGCTACGTGTTGAGTGGGTTGTCGGTGGCGCAAACGTACGGCGGGGTCGTGGTCGGCGACGGGGCAAACCGGTTAATCCCAACCCACCCCGCGTATAACATTGGGTGGGACAAAGTCCACCGCATTCATTCTTACTTTCATGTCGTGGGAAAAACCGAGGTTGATCCCATGGATTAACAAGACTAGTTAGTAATCAAAATACATCATCGTTGTGCCATTAAGGGAGTTTGGATGAGGGAGAGTGAAAGGTCGACAGGGTGCGGCGGCGCTTGTGCCGCTTCTCGTCGAGGGATTCCTTGAGCGCCATTTCCTGGATGTACTTTTTCTGCAGCTTGATGAACGTCGACTCGATGGGCAAGTCCTCCGCGGACGGCGGGTCCGCGGATGAAGGGTGCGGGGTAGCGTCATCCTTGTGATGGCGAGGGGGTTGCGGAATGGCCAAGACGCGCGTCACGAGCACGCCCCGCGACTGCACGCGGCGCAAGAGCGCACGGACGACCCCCATCTGTTCGTGTGGTCGGGTAAACACGGAGGCAAACCATCGTTTTTAGGATTCCACGTGCGATTGATGGAGGGATTGCAAGTACGCCGCCATCTCCCGTGACGCATCGCCGTACGCATCCACGGCAAGCGCTTGGGCACGGGACAAGTCGTCGTCGCCCGTGAGGACGTCTTGCAGCAAGAGAAGCATGACGTCGAGCTCGTGCAGAAAGTCAGAGTCGGCAATCTCATGGATACCTTCCGAGATATCCAGGACAGACGATATGCATGTGTTCATCCATGCCTTGAGGTCCTCCAGCGCCGTGATGCTTGTATGGGGTGTGGCTATCGATAGGACTGGCGGCGGCGGTGCGGGTGCTGTTGCTGTCGGCGTCGTCGACGTAGTCGCCATTTTTGTGAAAGTCCAACACGAGAACAAAAATTCAAATTTTGAATGCATTCGATTGGTCCAAGGTTTGAAAGCACTCATTTGATTGGTCCATTCCATCATACTCGACACTCATTGGTGCATCAGAAATGAAAGTGCTCGGATTGGTCCATGTATCCATGTATCGACATCTCTTCTAACAATTCCTTCACATAATACTCGGAGTACTGTACTCCGAGTATTATGTTAACAGTATAAGTATATATGTAGTACACCACAAACGCTACGACCATGACATAATATAATACTATTACGTATATACGTAGAGTAATATGCATGACGCAGCTGCATGTAAGCTCTAAGCTTAAGTCGTGTTATATGGACGATAGATGCAGTAGCATACAACAAACAACATTCGGATCTCCAAATTGCAATTCGTTCTATTTTAACCAATCCAAAAGCACAGAGATTGAACCAATAGATTTGATTGGCTAAAATGAATCCTTTATACGGTGGGTCTGGATCAAACCCCAAATTTTTCCCCATTAATATTTCAAACATTTGGTTCAAAGTAATTCGAAGAATTTGGTGGTCGTCTATTTTTGACTTGTCTGGATCAAACAGATCTCGAACGATCTTGCAAAAACTTTCAGAAAAAAGTCCCTTGAACGACTTTTCTAATTTTTTGGCGAAAAACGCGAAATTTGGCAAAATATTGAATTCTACAAATTTTGGATCCAGATTCAGATATTTTTCATTTTTTGCCGATTTTCTTGGAAATTCCCAAAATATCAAAGCTTTTGGCCTTTTTTTTACGTCCAGACTCACCCTAACGTTAATCGTCGTTTACCTTTTGTGTGCACGTTCAAAACCCGACCCTGGCAGTTACATGGTCCGTTTCAGTACATGATTTCCCCGCGATGATCACGTCCGAGAAGCGATTTGGTCACAAGTTCTCGACGGGTCGAGAAGAGGAGCCTGTCCGCCCATCCTTTCAATCATACAGTGTCAGCGTCTCACTTTACATACATTTAGGGACCATCGGCCTACACCCTCTTGACCGATTTCGACGCAGCTGCAAGACAAAGGTTTCGGGCGGCAGCTAATGGATTTGGTGCGGCCCCGCGCTCCATCCCCCCGCCGAAACTCTCGGACGTTGGCATGTATAACCCTGAAGTTCCCGGCGCATTTCCAAATGTATACACGGTCGAGCAATGGGAGAATCAGCAGAAACAGCTCCAGCAAGAGACTAGGGTGTTCCGCACATCGTCGCCGCCGCCCCGAATTCACGTGAGTGCGGGGCCTGGGTCGTACCACACGGAGCTCGATATGAGCAAAGAAGGCCACGACGGATATTTTAGCAAAGCCAAGCGACCAGACTTGACGGGGTATATGGAGTCATTGGGCCAAGTGGGAGATAGCCCAGGTAGACAACAATTATCGCCATCCCAAATACTCGCTACGTTTGGGTGATGTTATGTGATATATGGTAGTATATATCACAAACTTTAATTGATACTACGGTGTGGAGATAGGTCCCAAGTATTTACCCGACAGCCATAGCATTGCCGCGAAATGTCGACGAGGTGGAAGTCCCATGGTAGGTATACGACTGTAGTAGACGTTCAAAGTTGTTTATATCGTCTCGTGATTGTTTTTTAGCAGTATTTCCCACGGCATAATTCATCCCCTGGCGCGTTGGACCAGTCGTTCTTGGAGCTGGACCAATCCTTCCGGAAACTCACCCATGCTTTGGCCAGTCCGGCGCTGTGGAAACCAAGTTCGCGGTCCCCAATGTCCTCCGATCGTCAGCAATCTGGTAATATATTTCTAATATTATATTTTTCTGAATTTATAGATTTCCACAAGTAGGACCGGGGTCGTACAACAAAGGCACGGATTTTGTCAAGCGGTCGACGAAAAAAGGCACATTTGGAACGGCCAAACAACTGGACATGCTTGCCACGTTGGTGGCTTCGGGTCGTGGTGCGTCGAATGTGTATATATTTCCAAATATATATATATATATATATTGGTCATATATTTATGGGGATTATTGGTAGCCAGTCAATCGCCAGTGGGGCCAGGTCAATACGACGTGCAATGGGACGTCTTTGGAGGCAAAACGTACAACACTCGCGCTGGCTATGTACCCAAGCAAGCCATGCAGACAGCTCTCGAGTCCGTAGTACTACTACTAGTAGTTGAACGGGTTACTAGTTGTTGTAAAGTGCTAACTGTGTATTCAATAGCCCTGTGCCAGTGAAGACGACCGTAGCACCATCGCGGATGTTTGAATCGACAGACGCGTTGCCACCTCGGGAAATATGGCGGGCCATGCGTAGGACGCCCGATCCGAAGAAGCTCGGGTATGACAAGTACGTGACTGAAATCGCTAGTATTACTAGTACGAGGAGGGTTGTGATAAGAAGTGTAGCGGCGTGCCAAGCCTGACCCAGAAAAAGCATACTAGTAATCGTCGAGCACTCGTTCAAGAGGCAAAATACGAAACATCTGGAGGACTTCCCCCCGACTCCATAACGTTATTCAACGGTGACGGTGGAGAAGATGAACCACACGAGCGGAAGGATGAGGAGGCGGTGATGCAGTTGGAGCTGCCGCCCGAGTCGGGAGATATCTCAAGCTTTGAGTTGTAATAGTAAGTACAAACGTATGGGTTCTACACTTGTCGCCGATCTTGCATTTCTTCGAGGGAAACCATCAGTTGGCGATGGCACGACAAAGCAAAGTGCCACGTGCGCTGGAACAAGACACTGACGAAGATACCGTCCCCAACCGCGATTGCCAGTGACCTGGGGGCGTCGTCGGTCGCAAAGAGACAGATGTTCACGATCACTGCCAAAGTGTACAACAGGAGCGTCGGGTTGAACGCCCGAGACGGCTCGGGGAGTTGAAATAGCGGCGCACGGGTGAGAGGGTGTCTGCATGTCGGGCAGGAGGGACTTCGGAGGAGCCAGCTCCCGAGGCAACTGCGGCAGTACGTATGGCTACACATGGTACTCACACCATCTACTGGAACGTCCATGCAGATGACGCAGACCTCACCGCCGCCTTTGAGCATGGTTCGGTCATGGATGTTTGCATGGGTATCAATCAAACTGACGATGTCAACCCGACGACGGTTCAGCCAATCATTGACATGACCGTTACCCAATTAGTCGACATTGCCCTAGGTGCCTACCTATTCATAGTCTAGCAACAACGGCGGGGCCATCAATCGCTTTGGCAAATACTTTGCCTCGGTGGGGTGGTGAGGATGGACAGTGTCGCTGTGCACTCTCGACTCTGAGGGCCTGATGGGACCCCTGCTGTGTGTGGACCAATGGCGCCGTGCCCCACCAGTCGCTCGAGTTGTCCAACCCTGGCTTGGTCAGCAGAACTCGCAATAAAACGTTGGCGACTTCCGTGTCGTACCCTCAAGGAAGCAGCCCCGCGATGTCGGTGCAATATGCGGGCTGGGTACTGTTCGTTGTGGCTGTAGGATAAGGTGGTTACCCCCCAGTCTGCCGCGAAAGTACTCGGAACGAGCGAGTGCGAGAAGGGTCGTCGCGAGGTCCAAGGAGTACGCTTCAGGATAGTGTACAATATGTATTAATATCTCAGACATGTAAAGTAAATGTACTACAGGACTTCTTGGTCGCGCCAATTCAGACAGGGGTGAGGTTCTGGGGTGAGGTTATCATCCCTTCCAACAACCTGAGGCAGGTTCCAGAATACATACAGTATGTACTGTACATGTAGCAACCCGTAGTGGTGACGCATCCCAGTACGGTATAGTTCGCCGCCGTCATGGACAACTACTACGAGTTAGTCAAAAGTAACATTTGAACTTTGATTCCGTCGACAGTTCCAGGACGAACCGCAAAATAAATATACACATCTATCAAAGTGCTTCCATTTACTGGTAGCAAAGGCTACTGTTGTTGGTGAAACTCGAGCGTTTAATCTGTGACATGGCGCAACGCAACCTCATTTTCTGCTTATGACAGACACACCTGGTAACGACATCCTAAAGACGATAGAATACCACGACAGTAGCCACCATGGGTCTCGTAATTAACTCCCAAGGATATGCCCCCGAAAATAGGTACAGGAGCAGTAGGTTATTTATAGAGTCAAGGTACTAGTACAAAAGAAATGGAGGCTGGTAAGAATGCAGAGCCGCGAGCCATTCTCGTCCAGTAGCGCATTTCCGTCATTCTACCCATGAGACTTCACAACTTGCCCCTCCTTGTCGTCGTTGCCCTTGCCACCATGGGTGTCCTGTGCCGACCGCAATATGCGGCGCTCATTCCCAACGGCGATAACGTCGACGGGTACCCGGCCGTAGGCCACACCAACGACGCCGGCGGCGGGGACCGAAATGCGTTCGGAAAGGACTTTAGCTCGGCCGGGAGCTGGACAGTCGCGCTGTGCAAACTTGACTCGGACGGTGATGGACTGACCAATGGTCAGGAGCTGGGCGATCCATGCTGTGTGTGGGTCAAGGGCACCACGCCCAACCAAACGGTAGCACTGTCAAACCCTGGACTGACGGGGAGCACCCGCGATCGAGCGTTGGCAACGTCCGTCACATGTCCTGACGGTAGCCCCGCGGCATCACTTTATGCTTCGTCGTGGCTGGTATCGGGGATTGTAGCTGGCGTCTTGGCTGCTACCTTGTAAAGCTAACTGAAATTAGTCAATGAAAATCAAACGCAAAACCCGTGGATTTGTTGTGCCGGACAGCAAACGCACAGCGATGGCTTGAAGGCAGTATAGGGCATCTCATACACTACCCTTGAGTGTATTTTTGAAAAATGCGATGGAACAACGTCGACAGGTTGTAATATTCCGCAATTTGAAAAATGCGATGGAACAACGTCGACGGGTTGTAATATTCCGCGGCGTAATTGGCGTTGGCATACAGCAGCTATTCCAGTTTCTGAGCTAGCGACGGCAAGTTTTCCGGCATCTGCGTCGTCGCATGGGGTTTCTGGGCTCTCAAAAGGGCTTTAATGGCTCGTAGCACGAATTAGCGATCGGAAAGGGTGATCAAGTCGAGTTTTGTACAAGCGACCGATGGCGGAGATAGAGTTCGCACCTCCACTGCACCTTCTCTCATCGCCCGCGCGAATCATATCCGACTACCAGATAGTTTAGTCTGTATAAACTACTACGTAGTATGATTCATTACAGCGACAGCAACAACAGTGTAAACATGAGTAACAGCGTTCTCGTCGCGGTAACTGCCGGTGTGACGACAAGATGAAGACGACCAAGGTCGTGGCCAAGTGCGACGGCACCCGAGCCCAACCCTACCACTTTATCGTCACAATGCCAAGAGCAACGGGGCGCGCCACCACCTATACTGCGACAAGGCCAGGACCAAGTCGTACTTTATGACCATCACCCAGGCTCAAGCGTACGGGTAGTAGCAAGGGATCGCAATTCGACTACTGTAGCTCACAACCAAATAGCCGCAGCCTGCAGCTAGCAATGTAGCAAAGAGAATCGAACGATCCTATTGGCTGGCCTATTTCACTTTTTCTATCATATAATTGGACAGAAGTTTGGTAACAGGCAGCCTGCCTTACGAATTCATGAATCAATAAAGATGCGTTTAAAGGAATATATATTATCCCATACAAAGATGAAGCTTAAGTCAAATAAAATTTGACTTAATTCAGAACGATTTATGGAATTCGTAAGGTGGCTCACCTTGCGAGCCTACTAAAACGTACTCGTACTGTTTCAGCT